TTCATTGGAAGGACTGATGCTGAGACTGAAGCTCCAATTCTTTGGCCACCTCATGAGAAGAGTTGACTCATTGGGAAAGACCCTGATGCTGGGAGGGATTGGGGGCAGAAGGAGAAGGGGACGACAGAGGATGAGATGGCTGGATGGCATCCCCGACTAGATCAATATGAGTTTGAGTAAGCTATGGGAGTTTGTGATGGACAGAGAGGCCTGGAGTGCTGTGATTCACGGGGTCACGAAGAGTTGGACATGACTGAGAGATTGAACTGAACTGATGGCAGTTTTATTTCTAGTTTTTTAAGGAATCTCCACACTGTTCTCCACTGTGCCAGTTTGCATTTCCACCAACACTGTAAGAGGGTTCCCTTTTCTCCACACCCTCTCCAGCATTTACTGTTTGTAGACTTTTTGATGGTGGCCATTCTGAACAGTGTGAGATGATACCTCATTATGGTTTTGATTTGATTCTCTACTAATGAATTATGTTGAGCATCTTTTCATGTTTATTAGTCACCTGTATGTCTTCTTTGGAGAAATGTCTGTTTAGTTCTTTGGACCATTTTTTTATCAGGTTGTTCATTTTTCTGGTATTGAGCTGCATAAGCTGCTTGTATATTTTGGAATTTAATTCTTTGTCAGTGGTTTCATTTGCTTTATTTTCCCCCATTAAATTATGTGTGGTTTTAAAAGTGAAACACCCACAGTGTCCAATGGTTTGGATATAATTCAATATATTGCAGTAATGGCCATTTACTGACATTTGTGCAACATTGTGGAAGATAGTTAAGGACCTCACTAAGTCAACCCCAGTTAGACATAATTTACACAGAATGATCTTACCTTTAAAAAATAAATTGTTTAAAAAAAATGTATATTTTATATGTATGCTCAGCCACTAAGTCATGTCCAATTCTTTGCAACCCCATGAACTATATATAGCCTGCTAGTCTGCTCTGTCCATGGGATTTTCTAGGCAAGGATACTGGAGCTTGTTGCCATTTCCTAAGTGGTTACAGTGAGCATGAGATTTCTAAACCAATGCCATATTCTTCATTCTTATTTTTTAGGATACATATATTAACTTTTTAAAGCACTTGAAATATTTTATTTGTATATTTTCTTTTGTTTCTCAGGATTCCTCTCATTAATTTTAGTCACAAATTTTTATTTAATTATTTATTTATTTTACTTAGATTTCATTAAGCTTTGCCATTGTAGGGAGTTTTGTCTCTCTTATCACTAAGTTATTCCAGCCTCTAATGGAGTGCTTATCATTCAGAAAAAAACTTGGTAAGATTGTGTTGACCACCTGACTAGTGGGATGACTAGCTGAGTAAAGAAAGAAATCTATAAATAATTTATAATCATGAACCATTTGATATATATGCATATTTATATAGCTTACTCATTTTCTGCCCTTATGCCCAAGTGTAGAACTGTATTTATATGTAGTCATAGCGAAAAAGCTAAAACCCCCTGGATTTATTAAATGAATTTTATAACAAACACTAATATATACCCAACAATTTTAGGAGGGATTGCAGATAATTTGTCTTAAATGCTTATGTGTTTAGTATTGTTTTTTCTCAAATAATAAGGTTATATGAATAATAAATTTAATATAAGTTGTAAACACAAAATATAGAATCCAAATCATAAACTAAATACATATCCCTAATTCTTCTATACTTATCTAATGTTGTTCTTTTGCTAATTTAGATTTAACTACAATCTGAGTTTTCTTCTAGCCCTTGGCAGGAAAAAGTTGTAAAAAAGACAAATTCCATTTTTACTCCTGCTGTTTCATTTATGCTCTGCTATTCACTTACTATTATTTCAATCTGTTTGTCCTTTCTTCGGCTTGGATTTCTGATGTTTCAATTCCAAAGGTTTTAACTAAGATCCTTTATCTCTACATCTTGGCTGTACGCCTTAAGCTACATGACATCTGCCTGCCTTATAATATTTATATTTTCTACATAAATGCCTGACTTTAATTCACATTCATGCTATAGTTTCCACTTGTTGATAAGATTTGTGTTTACTCAATTCATTTCCAGTAAGAACATATGCATACTTTTTTATTTTACTCACTTCATTTCTAGTAGGACAATTTCCAATATCACAATGGACTTCCCTTCCCTAGTGGCGCAGTGGTAAAGAATCCAACTGCCAATGTGGGAGACACAGATTTGATCCCTGGGTTAGGAAGAGTCCCAGGAGAAAGAAATGGCAATGCACCCCAGTATTCTTGCCTAGAGAAACCCATGGACAGAGAAGCCTGACAGGCTACAGTCCATGGGGTTGCAAAGAGTGGGATATGACTTAGTGACTAAGCAAAAACAACAGTAAATATTCCACAGAAACTCCACAGTAATGATACCACAAATTGTAATTAATTTAAAAATTAAAAAAATAATTTAAATAGTAAATAAATAAATTCATTAATTTATAATCAATCTCTACTTTTTAGGCACATGTACATTGAATCCTAGTATGAGTGTCTTGTACCTGATGAACTTTCCAACATACACAATCAAGATAATTAGGGTAAAAGCAAGAATGAGAAAAATAGATTTATTTCTGCCAATATAAATGGAAATACATGGTTGAGAATGTTATACCCTTAAATTTATATATTAAATAAATAATATTAGCCTATCAGGTGATATAGTCTCCCCTTACAATCACCCTCCTGCTGTATTCAAGCCTCTCAATTCTGGTGAATCTGGGTGTATTTCATAAAATTGGGTTTGATAACTGATGTTATCAAAATTGATGCTTTTGAATTGTGGTTGGAGAAGATTCTTTAATCCCTTGGACTGCAAGGAGATCAAACCAGTCAATCCTAAAGGAAATCAGTTCTGAATATTCATTGGAAGGACTGATGCTGAATTTGAAACTCCAATACTTCGGCCACCTCATGTGAAGAGTTGACTCATTGGAAAAGACCCTGATGCTGGGAGGGATTGAGGGCAGGNGAGAACAGAGGATGAGAGGGTTGGATGTCATCAATGACTCGATGGACATGAGTTTGAGCAAACTCTGGGAGTTTGTGATGGACAGAGAAGCCTGGCATGCTGCAGTCCATGAGGTCGCAAAGAGCTAGACATGACTGAATGACTGGACTGAATGACTGAACTGACTGACTGACTCTGATGTCAACTTTTTGAGGTGAAAATAATATACTACTATATTTGAAAAAATCATAAAGTATTACATGTGATAATCAAGTATTTGGTTTGATTTAAGTTATTTCTTGAAGTGGCTATTGAACTGTAGGATTTAAACATGGGACCACAGAGTTTATGTTTATGAAATGTCCAGAGTACATTTCATTCAGGCACTGTTACCAGATTTAAGGATACAGTGGGAAACATGATTCCATCTGCTTCTCCAGTACCAATTTGTATACTTTTCTAGACTTCTTTCTCCCCTCTGGCTTCTGGTTGCTTTAGGC